CCAAAGAAGATCCCACTTTCGCCGATATGATCATCAAAGACCAGTTGATTAAATTCCTGTCCAATCAGAAGCCACACATTCGCTACAACTGTTGTCTTCTGATCCGAAAGCTGTTCACCGATTTAGAGGATATGGATCTCGAGGTCTACGAGAAACTCAAGAGAGTATGTGTTTGTCTTTGCCAGACATGTGTCTGTTATTGACGTTTATATGTTTTTAAACCCATTTATATGTTTCATTGCAGTCATTATTGGATAGACTTCGGGATAAGGATAAGTTGATCCGAAGCGCAGCCGCTCTCGCGTTGCATCGCTTTCAAGAATCGGACAAACGGTCGGATCTGGTGAGCGATGCGCTCCGGTTTCACTTGAGAACGGATCCCGACTTTCGTGTCCGACAATCGTGTCTTCAATCCCTGTCCCCAACCATCGCCTCAATCGATGAGTTTATTAACTCTACCCGTGATGTCAAAGACATCATTAGAAAGACCGGTATTTATAATGCAATCATATTTAATGCGAAACGAGATTTTGAAAACATTTTGTTTGATTGAATTCCTATAGCCTTCACATTAATTGCCGACAAATTTGATATAAAGAACTACGGAATCGATAAACGACTGCAGATATTGAAGAACGGGATGAATGAACGCCACGCGGCCGTCAGGAAAGTGGTCGAAACGAAACTATTGCCCAATTGGGTCAAGTCATACAACGGAGACTTTGTGGCACTTCTGTACGCACTGGACATCCAATCGGATCCCAAACTGATCGAAAGAATGCTATTCTTATACTTCGATTACATCGGCAAAGATGTGAACGAATTGAACGGAAAGACCGGATTTCACACATTTTTGGACGATTTTAAGAATCGTTTTCTCGAGAAATTCAATCTCTTGACCAAAGAAGACCTGACGGCGGAGAACGCATTCTTGTGGCGAATTGTGGCTAAATATTGCAAAGACAAAGACATAACCGTCACATTCATACTCAACAACGACAACACCGACACCAATGCAGAGGAGATGTCCGACGGCTCACAACCGGCGGACACACATCCAGAAGAGATCGATGGCATTGATCTCATTGTTCCCGATTTGCCACATTATTGTCATTATATTAATGTGTAATTATATTTTGATATTTCAGCAATTCTCTTGTGTTTACTTGTTTTTAATGGTATTTTAATTTCAATTTCTTGCAGTTTTATAAAACAGATTCTGATAAAAGAGTACGAAATTCACGAATTAATGGAATTTGAGTTTATGTTCAATCAATTGCTTTCAATGGGAGAACTCATTGACATCGGAGACGACGCCCAGAGGTTTGTTACCATAGGTTTGCCCATTAAATCATTATTAATCATAAGTACCATATTATAGACAAATATTGCGCAAATGTATGATTGATATCCTATCCAACGAAGAGCTCTTCAATCGTATCCACAATTATGTCCAGCATTTGATGAAAATATTTGCCAAAAACAGCGATT